ATTTATATGAAACTGTAAGATAATAATTACGTTAGACTCTGACTGGAGTGGATTTACTTAAACTAAAGTTTAAATAAAACTGTCAAAACACTTTACAACAACGAGGTATTTGCTTAAACTTGCATTTCTTAAAAAAAGGGGGAAAAAACTTTTTACAGATATGCACTGACTCCATTTTATACAATTTGTTTCCTTTCTGATTCACCTACTTGTAATTTGAACTGTGTTTGTTGGACGTAGAAATGTTTTTAGGAGCTTTTTGTTTAAATTTAACAGAAGTTCAAAGAAACAGAAAACAGGAAGTGCAGTTTTGTGAGGTTAAAAGTGGAAAAACAAACCAGAGCTACTAAACCCCTACTAAAAAMATCTGTTTTTAACTGAACTCCCCTGCCACGTTAATGTTAGCAGGATTACTGTACAGTCTGGATGTTTGAGTCGTGAGTGTGAACAGAAGGATGACATGTTCGGCTGCTTCCTGTAAAGCCATGTGCGGTGCTAGCCTGACCTCTGGAGGGCAGAGCCGTGCTTTGAGATCAGATCGTTGCACGTGCTGAGATCCTCCACCTTGCTGCCTAGTGTTCTGAGAGTAGACTGGACCTCGGAGTTTTGCGACCCAGCACCCTGACCGGGGGCCACCGGTAGGGCTGAYGGAGAAAAGTCGTCACCGGAGTCATCTGTTCACACACACACACACACAAAAAGAAAATATAAAGAAAAGCATCAATTAAAACCACATTTAAGTAAAGACGGCTCACAAAACTTAAACTGCGTCTGATTTACCGGACTCGGCCTGAATGCGGACTGCTTTGGCTTTAGCGAGCTCCAGGGCGGTGATCCATTTCTGCCGCTCCACCTCACAGCTGGCCTTCAGGTGGTACGTCTGGGCGCCCCCGTTTGAGATGACGAAGTTGCAGGCGTCGTCCACGGTGATGGTCGCTGTGGCCAAGTTGATGGTGCCCCGGCACGTGTGACCCATCTCCGCCTGGGTTCTGACCATCACAAGAGCTCCGGTTAACCATTTTTTAAATACGGCCATATATACAACAGCTGCTACGAGGCCTGTCACAATAACAAATTTTACTGGTTGATAAATAGTCTTAGAAATGATCGCGATAAATGATAAAATTGTTTGAAGATCCTTTTAAACTAATGTAATGATATTCACCCTGGCTTACGGAGCTTTTGGCAGTTTATACGTAAAAAACAAAAGTTACAAACTGCAACAACTGCACCTCCTCTATCCAAACCTGCATAATATATTCTTTGTGTCTTCCTCTGGCTTCATAAAATAAGTGAAGTCACCCGAACGCCACTTACAAAGTTTACAAAATTCACGTAGTGCAATTATCCAAACAACTCGCTGCAAACCCAAGGTTTGGTCCTGAGGCATCACCAGCTGAAAGAGGAAGACGCTCCTCTAGCTAAAGGCCTGTCAAGGGGCTCTAACACTACAGAGGTTAGAGACCATGCACCTGAAAAATACCTGATGCCTCCCTGCACTAAGGAGTAGAAAAGAGGCAGACACACACACAAAAATAAAAACAAGCAGGCAAACAAAAATGATCAATTCATTTTAATTTACTGTGTGATTAATTAATTTATTGATTATCCTGACAAGCCTAGCTGCTATTTTGTTGGCATTTAGGTGAGGGTGCAACAGTGATTGTATTTGTATTGAACTTCCAGGGTTCCTACAGTCAAATCTGAAATTTTGACATCAAAAACACTAAATTTACTGTAAATGTTTGTACGGTTGTGGGATATTATTGTCTTTATGTAACAAGTTTAGGGCTGCAACTAACCATTATTATAATAATCGATTAATCATTTAATTTTTCGATTAATCAATGAATTGGAAAACAAAAAATAATAATTTTGACCTCTTTAGTCCAAAATAGAAATTTGGACTGACAGCAAATTGCACAAAAAAACAGTTTACTGTTTGAGAATTCTGTTACTATATTATTAAATTGTAATGCATAAATAAGTAAATATTTGTCAGATAACTTCAGTAAAACATGAATGTACACAAAAAGCTACACAAATGTGAGTTATATCCTTGAAAGTCTCTTCATATTTTCTCTCCGGGAGCTTTGTAAAATGTGTCCTTGAGAGAAGAGAGTAACCTGAAATAAAAGAGAGAACTATTATTGTGTCTTTATGTTTGACCATGGACAGTCTCGTGTCATGACGATCACGTTAAGAACACCTTCAGTCCAGACAGCTGCTTATTACAATAAACGTCTTGTTTTATTTGCAGTATTAGGTTAAGACAAGTGTCTTCACTCAGGTGCAGCAAATTAAAACTTAAAGTTTAATCATTAAATTAGTACCATCATAAATCGCCAGACACAACAAACCGATAATGAAATTTGTTGCCAACACTTTCAACAATCGTTTTTTATCAATTTTATTGATTCGTTGTTGCAGCCCTAAACAGGTTAATAACCTGCACTTATACAGCCATATCACATAAAACATGCTGTAATAAGCAGTGTAGGGCCCTATGGTTACTGTTATGCTGAAAACATGGAAAATACCAAACAAAATGGAATCCAGTATAAAACACGGAATCTCATAAAATGTGGTCATTTAGGTGAATAGCTAAACATACATAATAGTTTCTGAGGTATTTTGGCCACTGTCGCCTCCTGTACCTAATGTTACCTGGTTACAAGCAGGCGGGGTGGGCTCTCCTCTCTGAAAAGCAGATGAAACTTTATCTTCTTTTCTAAAGGAATATCTGATTCCGCAGTCGGCAACAAAGTTTTGAATAAATTCACGACTCACTGCTACTGATGAAGCTGAGTGTTGAAAAGTTTGCAGGCGTGTTTCTCTTGTGTTCACTGTTTTCCTCTCCCTGTTTCTGATGTGAGTCTTTGCCTGGAAACGATCATCACATGTATTCTTACGTGTCCAGTTCATTGTGCGCTGACAAAAGTCACAGAAAGTTTCTCCCGATTCAGATAAATCACAGGGGTATCGTTCTGCCCTAAACTTTGCGCTAAGCTTCTTTTTTTTTTTTTCGGAGGAGCTGGTGTTTCAGCGAGCCTTAATGCCATGACTAACCTCTTTTTTTTCTCTGTGTGCACTGTAAACAAGAAGGGGCTCTGCCAAATCAGATTAAAAAAATAGCTTAGATCTTATTTAATAAGCAAGTGTGCAAAAACTGTTACTGTCTGTAGGTTTTTTGTTTTTTATGAGACTTATTTAATGATAAATGATTAACTGATTAGTTGTAACATTAGACTTTATTTGATAAACATATTTTAACTGTAAAACATAGACTGCAAAAATACTGTAGGCTGTTTTGTTTTTATAATTTTTAAACTAAAAGTTTTAAAATATATTACACGGATGGAGCCATTTTATTTACACACAAAGCATTCTGGGTAAATGATGATGTGGATAGGTCCTCTGTGTGAGCGAGCTATATCCACCCTGAAGGTTAATCTTCAACAATATCTGACGATCGACTCTTTTCAGTGTTTCCCCTAGGAAATTGGACTGGGTGGGGGGGTGTTACTTGTTTTATAAAAACATAAATTTACGTGACTCACCTGCAATTGTGGTAATAAATTTACACATATATGAATATTTAATTACCTAACTACATCCTAGTTACGGACTCCTGTATAATGGTAGGGGAAACACCGCTTTTTTGGGGGGCATTTGGGATAAAATAAAACTGATTTCATAGGGCCTTACAGTACATTTCAATTCAATTCAATTTGATCCCAGAGGGAAATTAGGTGTTTTTGAAACTTATTTAACTAAAGACTTATTGTAGAGTAGTACTGTATTGTATTTTGAGGCCATATTGACATAAAAATATCTAAACTTATTGTAAACGTTTATTCAGTTGTGAGGTTTTATTGTCTTTATGCAAAAGGTTAATAACCAACACTTACACAGCCACATCCCATAAAACATGCTACCATAGGGAGTAGTTTGGAGTTTACTGTCTCACTGACAAATAAAGATTTAGACCAGGTTCATTAAATTCTGAAGCCAAAAGTCAAGAGCCATCACCCCGCTTTTTACAACTAATGCAGCCTGACCTGCAGCTGAGCCTTCTGAGCCCCCGTCAGACTGACCAGGTCACATCGAGTCCAACTGTCCTCTGTTCATCATCAACAACAATGGAAGCATATTTTATTTGTTAAACAACGTATAATCCAGTCCTCCACCCGTCTTAAAAGTGATTCAACGTTAAAGAAATTCTGACAACAACAATAACAAGAGGTTTAAGATTTCAAAGAACAAGCTGCTGAACTTGGGTCAACCAAACTGGGCGCGGTTTCCACCAAACAGGTTCCTGTGCTAAACTGGAGCCTGTCCAGCTTGTTCTGGTTCCTCCACCGTAACCTTTGGTTCTGACACCAAAAAGAAAAAAATAAGAATTTAGCTCAACTCTTTACAGAGCCAGAGCAGAGAACTGGAGGTGGGCGGGCGGGCTCACGAGGAATAAAATTGTTGCGCAGCATGTTTAATAATCCAGAGTTAGTTTCACTTTTTTTCCTCTTTACTTTCACTTTTTTCCCTTCACTTCCTGTTGTGTCGTCGGTAACAGGACTAAAAACAGGACAAATATGGTATTAGGTAGAGCTTTGTTGATTCATGCCTGATTTCACATTCAGCTGAGTCAAACGGCAGCAGGGCAAATCCAATGCGGTTTTTGTTGACGTCATAAACAAAATGCGAGCAACAGTGTTTGTGTCAGCAGTGCTTCCATGGGAAGTTGTACCTGTAGTACGACAGCAGTCCATTGCTCAGCACGAACCACCTCCTCTGGTAACCCTTGATGTAGTTCGTCCACTTGAAGACCCATCCTTTGTACGTGTCTCCAGCGGGGGGCGGGTTCTTCGGTTCCGACATCCCACTCCCTCGACAGTCACTTTACAACCCGGAGGAACCTGGAAAGGAGGGACATTGTGGATGTTTTTTTTAATTCAGATTAAGTTTTTACGAAAATAAAAAACACTAAGTAGTTGGTCTATGTTTACAGTTTTCTATAAAAGATTTTTTAGTTTCAAACTCTGCAAAAACCTGAAGAAATTTATTTATTTTTGAAATCCAAGAAAGTGCTGACCTTTATCTTCTTTACAAGTCACATTTTTTTATTTTTTCAACTTGACAAGATTTTGCCTGCTTGCGTATTTCACTTCTCTCTTTTTTGGTTAGACTAAAAACAGACCCCCAGATCGTCCATTTAAACATTTACACAAAATGAAATAAAATTTTATAACAACCAAGTTGATAGGTTGAAATCAAAAGTCTAATACTTATTTATTTATTTTTGCTGTACTTTATTGTTCTGATTGGACAGAGGGAGTAATGATGAAGTCCTGAAAAGTACAAAACTGGACTAAGGGTTATTTAGGTTTAAGAAATCCCTTTCCTGTTTGACATTTTTTGAGCCAATAGTGACTTTGTTTAACTAATAATGATGGAAATACGTTTGAGCTGTTTTACATTAACTCAACATATTTCCATTGTTTGTTTAAATAGTTCCTGGTTGCCTAAGTTGATCTTTGAATGTTGAATGTAGGGTCAAAGTTTAGCTGAAGAATCATTACACATTCATAGTTGACAAGATTCACACAAAAAACACTTTATTCGTCAAAGAGAAGCTGCCAGATAAATTAAATACTTTATTAATGCCACTCCCGTCATTACATTTCGGTTTTCTGCAACTTGAAGCTTTCACCGTTTACATTTGAGGACATTAAGTGAAATGTGGCAAATGCTAAACTTAAAAAACACACACAGAAAACTTGGCAACAAATAAAAACACACCGAGACAACACAGTTTCGATAAAGTTCTGAACACATTAACGAGCCTTACGGCAGGAGCTAGGCTCACACTAGCTGTGGGTACATTTAAAACTGCGATAACAACCATTCACTGCTAAGCTAAAGTCAAGAAACATAAAGTGACAGTGCTGGCTCGAAGTTCTCCAGGCTTGTGAAGAAAAAGCAGCGCTGTTAACAAACACCGCCGAATAGTTATTTGTTTACTAGCTTGCTTTAAAATGTCTCTGGTGGCTAATGTTTACCTTGACGTGTCCAAAATGCCAGATGAGGAAACCAGACAGGCAGTGGAGTCACGGCTAACTCGGACACCCATACGCTACTGAAGAGGCTAGGAGCACAGAGCTAACAAACCGAGCGGGGCAGCTAGCTAATGTTTTTTTTTATACAGTTCTTTTCACAACTCATCAGAATGAGTGCAAGTCACGGATAATAGTGTAGAATAAAATGGCACAATACATTATTTTGTCACCATTTGTCTCAGTAATCGTGTTTGTGATGTTCATTGTACTACTGCATACGTATGATTACAATTATCGATAGCTACTTGGCTACATCTGACTAGCCTAGCTTAGCTCGTGGGATACACCCGGTGTGCGACAGGATTAGCTGTCGTGTGGAAACTTTGTCACGGAACCCTTCAGTAGAGGAAACAGAGTACTTTTAGTTTGTCTAAATCCTTTATTATATTAGTTTCCTACATACGATCATATTTGCCATATTGTTTATATATATATATGTATTCCACAAATAATAAAAATATGTTTCAGTGAAAAAAAAATCATGAAATCGTATTTACGTTCCCAAATGTCTTCTAGTATAGCTTCTTCGGGAATGCGCTTTCAGTGGTATCAAAACTTTTTTATGTTGTGGACTCCCGTTTTACTCGAACCCTCAAGCTTTACATTCCCTTCGATTGTGCGTAGACTTTCAACAGGCATTAGAACACACGCGCTGCTCAAAAAAGTCGACTCCGGTGGGACTCGAACCCACAACCTTTGAATTCCTTCGACTACCCCTAGAAGTCCAATGCGCTATCCATTGCGCCACGGAGCCACCTGTTGAGCATGGACGCAAATACACGTCATGTAGGTCCAGTGATGAGGCCTCTTTTACGTTTGCTAGATCTCTAGAGGGTTGTGGATGCTGCAAAAAAAAAAAAGTCAGTGAAAATGTTTTAAAATCTTTACAAGCACCTAATAAATAACTATCAAGCTTAATTACAAATAGTATCAATACGCTACGAGTAAAATTCAAGTTCGACGTAATAAGTCTGGTTTTGAACTCGAGGTCACCAGTAGCTGCAGATTATGGTCCCCTATATTGGTTTATGGGCGGAGTCCCCGGTACCTGCGCGCTCTGATTGGCTCGAGGTATTAATTCTTGGAGTCCAACACCGACATTTAACAGGCCGTCAGAAATTAACTAGATTCAGATGGATGTGTGGTTTAGTCAAGTGTCATGCTGAAGGTAAACACGAGAGAGCGCTAAAGTATTGTCAGTACGACCCAGAAACGCTGGTCCGAATATCGATTCACGGTAAATGGAACAAAAATCAACAGTTCTAAAATAATTTCTGCTGGAAAGAATATTAGTTTTTTTTCCCCCAAATAAAGCAATAATACACTACGTTATTTTCACGTGTTTCAAAAAAAAGCTTGTCTTAATTTCTAACTTTAAGCACTTGATTTTATTTGCAAGCATATGTAAAGGGTAACATTTGATTCAATTTTATTTAATTAACGGGGGTAAAAATAAAAATAAAAATAAAAAATTAATTGTTCCCGGCCGGGTTCGAACACATTTCGCCTGCATTGAAGCGAACGTGCGCACGAAATGAAGTTGGTTTCCGGTTGTAGCTTCCGGTTCAGGAAATGACTAAAGGGCGATTACACCTAATTTTTCACTACCTTGGGCATTTTTAATCTGCTCTAGTTTAAAAACTAGAACACTTAGGCTCTTCAAACCTGGACTAAATCGTTGTGCCCTGATTGCAGAATATTTAAAACCAAGTCTGTGATTTGTGAAGTCTTTATCTGATTTGTGAAACTTTAATAAAGTGAAAGTATAGTAATTTTCATGCATCTGGACAACACTAGACCTGGTCCAGTTCCAAAACTACAACACCTAGATTCCTCAAACTTGGACTAAATTATTCTACACTTATAGTAGAACATTTAAAACCAATTTTGGGATTTGTGAAACCTTTCTCTGATTTATGAAACTTCAATAAAGGTCATTTTTATCACTTTAATGCATCTAGACCAGACATCACACAACATTTAAAACAGAAGCACAGATTTAGGACTACTCTCTGTTAAAGAAAATCAAAAGGTTAATACCAGGGAAAGGAGATGGCAGCATTATGTCAGCGGATGCCCCCATCCAGGAAGGTAGGCTGTCACAGAATGCAAAACCGCATCTAGCTAAAATGAAAATAAATAAAAAAAAACTGAAAGTTAAAATCAAATAATGAAAATTTGATAGAATAATGAGTTCTATTCTAATATATATACTATATAATGGCACTTAATTCAATTTTCACAAATCAAAATGAGGTTTTGCAAACTAAATAAAGGTTTTACAAACCACAAACATGATTTTAAATACTTTACTGTAAGTGTGGAATAATCTAGTCCAGGTTTAAGGAGTCTAAGTATTTTAGTTTTTAAATTAGAGCAGATTAAATATGATTAAGATGATGAAAAATTAGGTGTAATTTCACCCTTGAGCCATTTCCCGAATCGGAAGATGCAATCGGAACCAAACTTCAGCCTATGGAGGGTGTCCATCTTGAAGCCACTGCGTATCTTTGATCAATCCTTAGCGGAAGTGTCTGGGATCGGTTCAATCCACCCCTGCGTCCAAAACAGGCGCTTGAAAAACCGGAGGAGGGGAGGATTTGTTTTTTTAAAGGGTGGTCTACATCTCATCCCCTCTCCATCACCGCCAGCAGGGCTTCTTCCAGCGTCGCTGTTCACCGATTATTGCCGCTTTACCACCGTAGGATATGCTTCAGCAGGTTAGACTGTTTACTACGCCACACTTTGATCCCACGCTTAGAATGAGCGAAATTGCTGAATTAAATTAAACAACATGCATTCATTTTTATTCCCTTTATTGAACGTGTTTTATTATAGGTCTGCGGAATAAAAGCCTGCCTGGACACGGGAGGGGATTAAGTTACTGCTCCTTGCGGCGGATTATTTTATTGGCCTCCTGTCGCGGCAGAGACTCTTCGGTGAGCCTTTTCCCAATTAGGAGAGGTCGCTTACAACCCAGGTATTCTCGCTGCTGCTGCTGTTATCCCCAAGGGAGAAAGAGTGGGGTCGTTTCCTTTAAATGACTCACTGTGGGTTTCGAAACGCTCATCCTTTGTTGCTCATTCCTGTACTTACTCTTTGCGAAAAGAGTGAGCTGCAGACAAAGAAAAATGACGAGTAAATACGGATTATTACAGAGGCTGAAGCGGGATGTGTTCACGGTCATTAATACTGTTGGACGTTTGGGCTTTTCTGTCTGTAATTACATTCTTATGGTCAAAAGGTACACTCCTCGTACACGCTGATGTACAATGTACACAGAGAATTGTGAAGCTGTAAGTAGACAGAGTTACTGCCCACCCCTTCTCTTTACAGCCTCCGTGTGTTTTGGTTTCGTGTCAACTGAGTCCACTATGAAGAAATTTGCATGATGATTTGAATGCAGCATTTCTTCAGTCTAAATAATCCTTGACACAAATGTGACATTTCTTTTAATACACAGTTATAATAAGAACCGAACCCTGTAACATTTATAGCGTATGCTGATTCGCAGCACACATCCTCATTTGAGATTTTGACAAACCTAATTGATAGTCAGATAAAGGAACACTGCTAAAAATGTCAAAAGTCCTAATGTTCATTTAAGGCAGCAGGCATGAAAATGTGGCATGATCAGTTAGTGTTCAGGGTTTAAATAGCCTGTGACATATATATTTTAGAATAAATATGAATGAACGTTTGGAAATATAACATGTCGTTTAAAATGTCTGAACAAAAGATATTGTAAAAAAATATGTCACACTGGTGAGATGAAAAGTTGTTGAGATATTCCCATGTCATGTAACAGGAAGTGATGTCAAAGGGGAATGTGAACAGAGCATTGCTATAATGACTTAATAATACAGACTATAGAGAAGAATCTGATCAAATATATAT